TATTCCCCCCCCCCCCCCTCTCCTCCTCTCTCTCTCTACTAGATCAATTAATTAGATTCGTGTTATATACATATAAGAAGTACTCACTCATGACGAGTTTTTCGTCTTAAAAGTTGAAATCTAGGTAATTACATTAATATAGTAAAAATGACATTATATATACGGAAAAGGGCTAAAAACACCCTGGATTATTCGAAAAGGGTATTTTTGGCCCTTTTCCGTTATACATATACTAGTAGCATCGTAATTTACCTCATTATATTACAAGTTTCTTTCCTCCAATTCCTTATATTCTTCTTCTTCATTGTATGGTTAAATTTGTATATCTAAATTCACATATCAGAAGTAGATTATAAATCGATCGAATTTTAAACAAAATAAAGCAATATTTAAAGTGTTCGAACCTAAAAGTAACGTGTGTACAATTTAATTCTAGTAAACCAAATATCTGAAGGGTGAAATTATGTCTTTTCATAAGCCAAATTTCACACGTCTAATATAAAGGGGCTAAAATTTATAGTATTTGGTTATGCCTTTAAACGGGTACGCAAATCGGTTATTTGTGCCACTTACCCCGCGTGGACCCCCCTCCCCACCACAAAGAACATTCGTCATCCAACACAGCAAGACGCATCGTCTTTGTTCTTTTCTTTTTTCTCTTTTGGTATTTGGCGTACAGAAGAGCGTAGAAAGTTCCCGTATTAATCGTTTTGCGAATCGCGATCATCGTCGTCTCCTTTCTCCGGCGTAACTAGGTAAACCGTCCGATGAACTTATTAATCACAAATCGCATATTGATTAGTAGTTACTTTGCCGCTTTTCTTCGTTCTTGTACTTAGGGTTTACTAGAAAGATGATCTCCCTGGTTAATTTTACCTGTTGCTATATTAATTATTACTACATGAATTGTAGTTCATTTAATTTATTGATCGATTGAAATTTTGGGAAAAAATGAATGACAAAGGAATAATTTTGGGATTTTCAGGGTTTGTTATCGAACAATCGTTGTAGAGAAGCTAGAATTTGGTGAAGATGTGGGCGGCTTCTTGTCTTGCGTCATGTTGTGCGGCGTGCGCTTGTGATGCTTGCCGTACGGTAGTGTCTGGGATCAGCCGACGTTCTGCAAGGATTGCCTATTGTGGTCTTTTTGCTTTGTCCCTAATTGTCTCGTGGATTCTTAGGGAGATTGCTGCCCCTTTAATGGAGAAAATACCATGTAAGGTTTTTATTTTTTTCAATTATGATAAAATGGATAAAAAGGCATAATCTTAGCTCACAAAATAGTGCTCAATATCCAAAACTAGCTAACCCTAATTTGAAAGACTTCAAGACTATTTATACTAGTCTAGCAAAAATAATCAAATAATTTGAATGACCAAATCATAAAAAAAATAGTCACTTGAGCATATTAGTGGCTTTGAAGTCTTCCTTCCATGCTTTCTTTTAAGTCCTCCAAGCTCATGATAGTTGGAAGAATGGTCCAATGCCCTTGATGACCTCCTTGATTGTCACCACTTCCCTCATAAATCCGTTTGAGCATGTTGTGGACTTTATAAGCTTTTTTGATAACTCTTTCGTGACATTTTTAAGCTCTTTGTTATTGATTGAAAGCTTCCATATCCAAGATAGCCCACATTCCGACTCCTGATACTGACCTTGTTACTTCGGTTTGCATCAGTTAACCTATGGTGAAACTCTTTTCTTTTTGAAAATATATGAAGGGTAAAGGAAATTACATATTTAGTCTATGAAAATGGCCAGATACTCTTCTGGCTTGATGGGTTTGCTTTCCTGGAGTCGAGCTTGTGAGTTGTGAGTCTTCAATTATTTGCTTAGCTATAGTGAAGCTTTCTCTATCGATAACTTCTCTACTTGCACAAGGTAGGTAAGACTGCGCACTCACCACTCTACCCAGACCGCACTTGTGGTCACTGGGTATGCTGTTGTTGCTGTAGTGATGCTTTGGCAAGCTGTTCTTTGTTTGCTAATGTCTGATCATTGGAAGACCTTCCAGTGGTAATTTTAGAAGACTTAGAATTGAACACTTAGCCTAAGCCTTAAAATTATTTTCCGAGATAGATAAGGAAGATATGGCACGATAGCTCATGTGCAACACGATTAGAAACAAATAAAATCTAGAGTTGCTTCTCTGAAGTTGATGAAAGCAGCATGGAAGAGTAAGCAATGTTGAGCTTTACCCAAGTATTTAGGTTGAAATAATTTTGTGTGTGTGTGTGTGTGTGTGTGTGTCTCATTCTCTATTGGCCCTTCCAGCCCCAGTCAACTTGTTGAGGTGATATTGTGAGCTTATTTGTGGCGCCTTAAGTCTACAAACTTGATTTTGGTATAGGCTGGATGATATTGTAGTTTTACTCTTTGTGGCTTGTATAATCTTCCAAGAATCTTTACCCATTGATTATATTGCAGGGATTAATAGCTTTCACACGACACCAAACAGAGAATGGTTTGAAACAGATGCTGTGCTTCGGGTTAGCTTGGGGAACTTCCTATTTTTCACTATTTTAGCAATCTTAATGATTGGTGTAAAGAACCAGAAAGACCCACGTGACAGTATGCACCATGGTGGTTGGATGATGAAAATCATTTGCTGGTGCCTCATGGTAATATTCATGTTTTTCCTTCCAAATGGAATCATCAGCTTCTATGGTAAGATGAGCTATTTTTCTTAAGAGTCCTTTTGTAATTGATGTGTTAAACTATTGTACAAAGTTTCAAACTCTATTTCCCATACACATGGATTTGCACCTGAGTATTTATTTGTGAATACAGAGACAATTTCCAAGTTTGGTTCCGGACTATTTCTCCTTGTGCAAGTTGTGCTCTTGTTGGATTTTGTGCACAGTTGGAATGACAAATGGGTTGGATACGATGAGCAGTTCTGGTTAGTTTTGTCATATGTATTGCATAGTTATTTTTGCTGTTTTTGCTACCCTCCTCACTCTAATCTCTCTTCCTACTCTTGGTTGGTTGTGTTGTTTTACAGGTATGTGGCATTGCTTGCCGTTTCACTTGTATGTTATGTGGCTACCTTTGCATTCAACGGACTGCTCTTCCACTTTTTCACTCCATCTGGACAGGATTGTGGGCTTAACACTTTCTTTATAGTGATGACCCTTATATTGATCTTCGGCTTTGCTGTTGTTACGCTGCATCCATCGGTAGGTTTTGTATATTTATTTCCTTTATTGCACAGTACTTCCTTATTCTTAAAACTTTTGTTAGCCCTAATTTTGCTGGCAAACATGCCACCTTCTTATACATTCATTTGCTTTTTTCATCTGATACCTCCATTTGTGCTGATTGCAATACTAAAAATGTGGCTTTACTAGACAAAGCAGATCAGTAAGTTTTGGTAGTTGAGCTTACTGCAGATCATGGAAGCTAGAAAGCTTTGCTTTGATGTTAACATATGCTGCATTATCTCTCTTCATGTTAGCATTTTCTTTATCATATCTTCAAGTACTCTCATGATTACTTTAATGCTTTCTTTCAATCTTGAGGAAATGTTTATTCTTAGTAATTTGAAGAAAATAGTTAGGTTTGTTGGTAGTTTCAATGATAAGGGATGCTAAATTTCAAATATAGTGGTGCCTCATGTGTTTCTGTAAGATCTCAGGTGGGATGGGATGGGATGGGGTGTGGAGTAGGGGTTATGGTTGAGCTGGTGGAGAGGAGACAGTGAACTTGGAATTTCACTTATGGAACTTGTTTTCCCTAGTTTCAATAGGAAAGTCATTTTTAAGGAAATTGTGTTCTAGAGACGATATTTTTCAAAGCATCTTTGACTAATCAAACATGAGAAAATTCAAAAATATATTTTCCTCCATACCAAGCACACCCTTCATGTTCATGTGACATTGTTTTGCAAGGAAACCACTTTATATTTGAAGAATCACGCTAAATGTATGGTCCAAGTGGAATTGCTTAAACCAAGACATTTAGCTGCTAACTAGCATATTGGGTTCATCCTCAACTTGGTCCTTCATAATCCTTAAGCAGTAATCATTAATGAAAACATAACGTCTTTAACTAGTCAAGATGATCTAGGTAACAGCAGGAGCAAGTAGATAGATGCAACACAATTCCTTTGGAGAGTGGGGAGAAGGATGATCAGAGTTGGAGCTACCTCTTGCCAATACTTCTCTCTTGAATGACTCATAGCTGGGGATATTTCTAAATCTTTGTGTTGAAATGATGCAACCTTTCCAGGCAGCTCCCATAGAAACATCTCTGTTATTAAGTCTCATTCCACCCAACTCGCCCACCCCAATAAATAAAATAAACTCCTCCTAAAGGTTGTAATTAGTTTGGTTTGATATTAAAAGGTTCCTTCTGGAGGTGCAACCTTTTGCCATTATTTGATGCATGAGAAAAGAATACCTGTTCGACTGTTAAATCATTCACACACACTATGTCAGCGTTTCTACTGAAAGAGAAGAATAGGTTACGCGATCTGTGCTCAGGATCTGTTTATTTTGAGGTATTTAAGCTTACCAGTTACCTCTGAATGACCAGCTGTTGTAAATGAAATATCTGTCTCACTTTAAAAATTACTGCTATGTTTTATGTCAGAATAATGAGTTCAATATTCTGGATCTTTTTCCTTTTCTCAGAGATCAAATTTTCCAAATGTAGGTAGGTGGAAGTATTTTACCTGCATCAGTTTTATCTCTGTACTGTACATACCTTTGCTACAGTGCACTTGCAAGTGAACCTAGGGATTATGAGTGCAACGGTCTACATAAGCACTCCAAGGCTGTTTCCAGTGGCACACTTGCATTAGGGCTGCTAACAACAGTTCTATCTGTTGTCTACTCTGCTGTTCGTGCTGGCTCTTCTACAACTCTGCTTTCTCCTCCAAGCTCACCACGTGCAGGTTAGTTACCACTATTTCGGAGGGTTTACTGTATTAAGATGTTACAGCTCTTTCATTCTCACTGGTAGTAACTTGTATGTCATGTTCCTCAAACTCTGTCCTTAAAACCTGATAGAGTCCCGAATCTTTATATGATCAATTAAATTTGCTGACATTTGATAGAGCTCTGGACTGCATTGATAGTTCAATATAACTTTTCATTTTGTTGGACTCTAATTTTACCTTTCATTATCCATTTTGGTGTGCTTGTGTTATCTGATGGCTTATACTTGTTCAAGGCTTGGTTGTGTTAGTAAAGTAAGTTCATATTAGTCTTTGAAAGTTAC